TTTTTTTCTTGTGGGAATTCTATTGTACAATTTGAATAGTTTAAAATGTTGATTGTAGGATATAATTGAAAATTCTGTTACAAATGAAGTATAATAAAAAAGTTTTATTTATTTAGTAAATCTAAGCGAACCATCAAGCAAACAAGTTAATGGGCCATATTATATCCCATTACATAAGTACAACCAAACCATTGCCTCGATGACAATTAAATCAACACGAGCGGATCACCAAAAAATAGAGAAGACAAAAATGCATTTATAATCTTATTTGTTTAAGGTCATAGCAATTTTAGTCCCAATATTTCAACATTTTGCCTTTGTTCATATGATTTAATATTTTGTGATTTAACATTTTGTTGTAATTTCAATCATTCGAGGACTAAAATCATTTGAGGACTGAAATTGCAGTAAAATATTAAATCACAAAACCAAAGGTAAAATGTATTAACTTTGAGACTAAAATTGCTATGAGGTTAAACCAACAAGACTAAAAATGCAATTTTGTCAATAGAGAATTAGAAGTACTCCATTCAAGCACACTTAGGAAAAAATCTCAAGATGCAAACCTTGGAAAATAGCATCATGCACAAACCAAGAGAAACCAGAACAGCACGTGACAAAATCACCAGCAGAAAACATAAATAGAATTCGAAATTCATCTTAAAGAGCAAATGTGAAATCATAGTAATTCAACACTTCCTCATCTATCAGTGGCTTAGGAAGGAAATGCAAGACTCAAAGCTCTCCAGCAAACAAATCCTTCTCCTAAAACACTCCAACTTTAGGCAACAGAATCTTTCCAGAAGTAAATCTTAATGAGCAAAAACACGATAAAGGGAATTTTAGGAACAATAGTTTATGCACCCACAACTTCAGTCGGCTCAGCAATCGGCTCATCAGCTGGCCTATCCAACTTCACACCAACCTCTTCACTAGTATCACCATGAACCTGCAAAACATTGTACACACAGCCCATTGTTTACATTAAAACTAAAAAATTGAAGTTTGCCCCAGTTAGGACTAAAATAATAGAGAAACAAAGGATATATCAGGAATTACCTCCATCAACCTCCCAAGGTCAAACTTGGGAGCTTTCAAGATCTTGACCTTCCTGATGAATACATTCTGCAGAGGGTAGATGCTTGAAGTTGCCTTCTCAATCTCCTTGCCAATCGACTCAGGGATAAACTTCCGAACCAACTCCTTGAGATCACATGACTGTGACTGGTTAACCATGATTTCTCTCATCTTGCGGCGAATCTAACCAGAAAAAAGGGAGCATATAATCAATGAGTGAGAAAAAATAAAAAGAAAAAGAGTCCATAATAATAAGAAATATAAATATTATGCAATCATTTAAATATACGCAAAAATATGTACTTGACGGATCTGGCTAGACTGAGCATAGCATGTTCTCTTCTGTTGGTTGACACGCTTCTTGGTGAAGGCAATGCAGAACATCCTCAAAGTGTAGTTGTCGGTAGTCTTGACATCAACATGAGCCTCAATTAGTGACTGCCATTTCCTGACAAGAGACCTCAATTTGTCTGTAGTAAAGTCCATGCCCTGGGATTTCAAAGGAAAAAAAAATATATATTACAAACTGGTTCAGCAACAGCAAAAAAAACAATTAGAAATACAAGATCTTTGTAAATTTCAATTATACCCAGAAGTTTGTGAGAACATTCTTTCCCTGAACATCCTCAGCTCTCAAACGGATCTTCCTGAATGCGTGATCCTCATCACCTTGAAGGTCAGCCAGTGAAACCTCAAATACACGGTGCTTGAGTCCTTCAGAAGCAATCTGAAAGTGAATTCTACTGAATTTAGATACTCACAGAATATAACAGGCAACATAAATACACCGGCAAAGATAACAACAATGTTGAAACAATTTATTATAGGCCCAACGTGATAAAATACAGTACCTTCCAATATATTTAAATCTAAGCATAAAGTTATGATATAAATCAGACGGGATATCTCTGATCTTTACAGCTTTTCTTCTTCAAGTATTCCAACCACATATGGCACTATAAATACATAGGTTGAAGCATCTAATTAAAATAATAACGCAAAGTATCGCCACAACTCAACAACACCACAATAAGAAAGCACTGTAATTTGCAGGATCAATTAGACCAAGTAAACAACAGAGTTATCAAATTTCTGGCTGCCAGAAGAAATGCATGAAGGATGGCATTATGGCAGCACAGCAGATAGCCATGGCTGGCGAAATGGTGGGACTTCAGCTGGCAGCCATTTTCCACCATCCACCACTGATAACACTAACATTGGTAAACAATATTAAATCTAACATTATACCAGCCATTATGCAATATGACAGTGGAGTGTCAAATACAAGATCATTTTTTCTTGCATATATAATCTTTTAAAGAACCGAAGGGATGGAAAGCTATAGCCCACATTTCTGCAAAGTTTTCTGTCTAACCATATATATTTTCAACCATAAAAGCATGAGTTCCTTAACAATCACCAATATCCAAGATTCATAGGAGAGCAAATGTACTAAGCTGAACCAGTTAAAAGTATAATACAAGAGATAAAAGCTTCAAGTAAAAATACCAGAAAGTAATGAATCAGCATTGTTCTTCAATTAATTAATTAAGAAAACAACTGACAAATGGAATCACAAGATAAACATTACCTTAGTACCCTGAGTTCGAGTGACTAGTGTTTTCCCAATATTCTTGGTGTTAAACAATGACGGCGCCTTGATATCATACCAGTCCTTCTTAGCAAAAGGGTCAGCCCTACACTCAATTAAAAAAAAAAAAAACCAATAACGGAAAATTCCAAAACGGTCCAAAATTAGCAGGAGAGTGTGAGAGGGCACAAAACATACAAAGTAGAAGATGAATAAAAGAGCAAAAGGATAAACAGAAATAAAAAAGACGCACGCTTTCTTCTTCCCTCCCTTCTTCCCCTTCGAAATCCTCTTGTTCTTTCTGCATCATATTAAAAAAAAGCAGCAATCATGTAATGTATCAGACGCTGATTTAAAGATTTCAGACTTTGCCTGTATATGTGCACCGTGTATTTCTATGAAGAGAGAGAGAGGGTGTGTGAGTACCCGACGGCCATGGCGGCGGAGCAGCTGAGTTTTGGAGGCTAGAGAGGGACGGCTGTCAGTCGCACTCTATTGGTTTTGTTATGAGAAATGTGCTCAACCAAAACCCTAGCAATTTATTGTTTTATAGTTGTTTTCGTTTTCGGGCCAAAACTAATACATATAAATTGATAAATAGTTAAGGGTGACTTCCAAATCTATATCTATATATCTACATCTATATCTATATCTATATCTATATATTTATACTTATATAAAGAGTCATTCCATTTACTATAATTAGTAGTATATATCTATACTTATATAAAGAGTCATTCCATTTAATAGAATTAGTAGAAAGAAAAATCAAAGGTAATTAATGCATTCTATTTTCATCAATTAATTTTTATTTAATTGTTTTTTTCTATATAGATATTAATTTACGTAAATCAATACATCTAATATTTATAGTTTGTGTAGATTTAAAGTTCATTCCTATCTTTGTACAAAAAATCTTATCTAATTGTATGAAAAATCTTCTGATTTGTTCCTCTACATATAATGTGATCGTATATCAAAATTTTTTCTTAAAAATCTTAACAGATGTTGAATATTACTAGAATGTAGCGACATGCATGGTAATTAAAATTGTGCATTAAATAATATTTATAAATTAAAATTAGAATTAATATGCAAAACAATTTACATATATTAATTTTTTGAAAATGTTATATAAAACTTAAATTGTCCTTAAAATCCTATTCCTAGAATGAATATTACTCCTTCTGATTTTAGGGCTCCATTTAAGTTCCAGCGGCGGCAGTTCCCACTTATGGTTTCGTATGCCATGACCATAAACAAGAGTCAGGGACAGTCTCTATCGCACGTTGGTTTTTTTCTAAAGAAACATGTCTTTAGTCATGACCAATTATATGTTGTTGTTTCGCGTATAACTAATAGAAGAGGGTTGAAGATATTAGTTTGTGAGAATGAAGAGTTGTCCAATAATCAAACTCATAATGTTGTGTACAAGGAGGTTTTTAATAATAAATGATTGTTTATTTGTCCAATACTATCTTATTGTATAATTTTCCTACGTATTATAAAATTTTTATTTAATATTGCATCTTATAATATAATATTCCCCAAATAAATATATCCCGTGCCTCGCACTGGTCACGTACTATATATATCCCGTACATTTTTCTTTATTCATGTATATAAGAATTATAAGTCTGGATAAATAGCCTTAAACTTGTATACTCCGTGCATCGCACGGGCTCTACACTAGTATATATAATAAGAATTACCATTTACTAAAAATAGTAGCAAAAAAATAGGTCAGAATTTAATGCAGCCTATAAATAGTAAGTTTGTTATTTTCTTACTTTCTTCTTTAAAAATCATTCAGCATTAAATGCTACCTTAAATTTCAAGCATTAGTTAATTTTATTATTTTTATTAAGTGTGCATGTTTTTATTTTTATTTATTTTTTCAAAACAACGAACAACATTAAAATCTCTTATATTTATAAAATCTCAATTCAAGATATAACAAAAGTTTTAAAATCTCGGTCTTTATATTTGTGCCTTTAAAAAAATATTGAACGCTAAAAATATTCTTTAAATTGCATAATAAATTAATTAATCTTCATTTTTTGAAAATTACTAGGTTTATTTTTTATTAATATGCATAAAGTAAAAATAATTAATATACTTTATATATATAATTTATAATCTTAATATACTACCATTTGGTGTCGACATTTATTATATGAATCATAAAATAATTTTATTTCATAAAATTAAATATATTTAAACAAAATAAAAAATTTTCTTCGGATCAATCGGGTGATTGAATAAGGGTACTGCCTAGGTTGATTGAATTACTTTTAGATGATATTCAAAATAGTCAAAAAACATGACACAACTTGGTTGGTCCCAGATGACTAAGTTATGTATCAGTTCAACCACGTCAAATTGATTATTGAACTGAAATATAAATTTTATATTGAAAATATTTTATTACGTGAATGTGATGTAGTCCAAAATTCACATAATCGTATTAACAATACTTCTATGACAACATCTTTAATGATTTATGAATATTTATATATCATTTTATTAATATTTATGTAAATTATATTAGTTTTATTATAATATTTATAAATGTACAGTAAATATAAGGTTTTCAGAACCAGATCGTCATCGAAATGATGAAGCTATTTTATTAAATTATTTGTGGTTTGTTAAGATTTTAATTTATAACTATTTTAATAGATACACATATATATAGTACTTTTTGTAATAAATTTAAATAAAATGTGTTACTTAGATATCTAAATAATTTATAAATTTAAATGTTTAAACTAATTGATAAATAATTTTTAAATCTCTATTTTATTTAAATATGTAATTTTATTTAAAATAATTTTAAATATGACAAAATTTATTTAGAAAATCGTATCGATCCTACCAGTCAAACCGACTGGTGTTGACGAATTCGAGAACAAATATTTTATTCAAGCGAACTAGAGTGTTATAACCGGTTCTCGGTCCATCCGATCGGACTGTGTCCAACCCGGTTTAATTTAAAAATAATAGATAAATCATGATTAATGTTATTTATATATTTAATTTTATAATACAATCGTAATATTGTTTCCCGTGCATCGCACGGGCCACACACTAGTTATATTTAATAGACAAATCCTTATTGCTATAATTGACATGATTTTGGGAGGAATTTTTTTCGTCTATATTTGGCATTTAATTAATATTTATTTATTAACAAATCTTATATATAAAAAAACATAATTAATTTTCATACACTCAATGACTATTACTCATTAACTACAAATTGACTTAAATTGAAATTTTGACCGTGTTTCAATAACATATATTAATTTAATAATAATTTGTTGACACAATTCAAAAAATTATTAAGAAAATTGATTTGATTAAATATATTATCATCTATGGTTGTAGGTATTAATTTAATTAATTATATTTACTATTCAGAAGTACTTAAAATATTTAATAAAATAATTAGAATAACTATGTTTAAATCTTAATAACTTAATAAATAATTTAATATTAATAAAAGTTTTTAAAATGTAGTCAATTTAACTATAAAAAGGTACATCCCCATTGAATATATCATATGCAGTCATAATATAATATTGTGGAGAATATAATTTTATATTGTCTTGAATAATTTTATAATATTTAAATAAAAAATATTTTTTGTATTGCACCTCGTGCATCGCACGGGTATCAACACTAATAAATATAATATTGGAGTGTCAAATACAAAATCGTTTCCTCTTGCATATAACCTTTAAAAGTATGGAAAGCTATAGCCCACGTTTCTGCAATGTGAATTCCTAAACATTGTCCTCTATTATTACTTACCGCCCCCTAAAGATAATTTTGCCCACTCATTCTATATAAAAAAGTCTCTCATCTCTCACAAATCTCTCTCTACATCTCTCAGTTTTACGGGACCCCGACCTCCGAAAAATTTCGAACAAATGCCAGGACAACCCTCATGCACGGACAAGGGACTTATGATTCCAGGGGTACGTTTTTTTTTTTTTTTAACGTTTTAAATATTTTTATTTTTTATTTTTAATTTCGGTGCTCTGGCCGGCTATGGTGAGGGTCAGCCGCTGATTGCGGCCGGATCAAGCGGTGGGCGGCCGTGCAACCCCACACCAGCGCACCTTCACATGGGTAGCTACGACCGGTGATCCCAAGGAAGACCCGATGATCCCAAAGCCAGTCCGACAGCCCAAAAGACTCGAAGGTTCATACGATCTACATCAGCGGAAATTAAAAATCACTCAGAGTCGGTAATATTTTTAAACCATAAGACCTGATCCTAACAATAGATTCCACTGCATTAGGATTTATTTTAATAGATTTGTGCACATTGTTTACGTACCTCATAAAACCTAACAATGCTAGTTTTACTCAAAATACAAGTTGATGCAAAATTGTCATCCCCTCCAAACGCTGGCAAATGATAAGAAAAGCTCCCACATCCCTTTTCCATGAATTTGACATCATGTTAACTACCAAGACCCCAATTTTTGCACGATATATATTAACACACGGAGGAAGTGAATAAACTGCAGGTGGAGAACTAATTCTACTGAGGTTTAAGGATAGTGGTCAGGGAATGTCTAACATCTTTTCCTCACAAACACAAATTCATTCAATCAAATTATCCAGCTTACTCGTAATGACAAGCCTTCAACTACTTGATATTTCAATGCTTCCCAAAAGACACATCTCCAGGGAGCATATTTTGAGGATAGTTCCAAATGAATCTAAATTTTATCAAGTAGAGTTACTAATTTGTAAAGGTAACGACTACTCACTTGAAAATAAGATTGCCNGCCTCGAGAATGCTCAAATCATGTTAAATAATAGTACACCACCAAGAAAAAAGGTATAGGACATAGCAGAAATTTTATGGAGCCATCAGATGGTTTTCTTATAGAGTCATCCATCACTTAATGTATTGACACCTGTCCAAACTGTATTTATTGTAGGACACATGTCAATTCACTATTTGTGAATAAGTGTGGATGACTCCATAAGTCTTGTCACCCGATGGCTCCATAGCAAAATTAGAGAACAAAGTATTATAAGGTTGTTTGTCACATTGTCGAGTTCAAGGTTAACAACCACTTTTTTTACACAATTGATACATATCCATATTTTAGTCAAGTTATTTAGTTAGAGTTAAAATAAAGTAATGGATTAGGCTTTTGTTTAGGAACCCTAGTTTGTTTTATTCAAATATGTAAGCACTCCTTACTTATTCCTTTATAAAACCGTTTATTTGCAGAAATTTTTAAACTTTTTCGAAAACATTGAACTTTGAAAACATTTTATCGGGTAGTTACTAAAACTTTTCTTTCTACTTTCTTTCTTTTCTTAACCTAAGCCTCGCACTTAGATAATCGGGAATCATTCCCGACTTTCTTTCTTTTCAATTATGACTAAGCAGAGCACGTGAATACTAAGTTTATAATTGAAAAACATTTAAACTTCATACATCGTTCTGAGTTTCAATAACATGTCAGAATAACAATTGTTCAAACCAAATCAAAAGCGGAAGCATATTTAAATAACTCTCTTTCTTGTTGACCACCACTGCCCCTT